TCGGTATACAGCGCAGCAACGTCAAAGGATTCTACAACGCAGTCGGGCTGAAATCTGCAGGAACGTGATCAAGGAACTGGCGTGTGCTGGACAAATGTGATGGTGTATACACAAGGAGCTGACCGACAATTTTGTTCAAGAACCATGATATGCGATCGGTCGGTCTGTTTACACAGCTTATGACTGGTCTTATTTTGAAGACTTCTGGCAGAAGTGGGCGTACGTTTTCAGCGGACAACTTGTGAATCTTTACAAGACTGTAGAACACTGGGCATGTAGGGTTCTGCAGCTTGAGCCTTCTGACAAATCTTTGATCCAGCTTTGCTGCTTTGTCTACTTTCGTCCATAACGTGTTGAAACTGTGTGTTTGGGCGTTGAAGGTATATTCTCTCGATGGGCGGTAAACAGCTGTATCTGACAGATGGAGCTCCGTGATTTCCTGACCCATGGAGTGGGATAACACCAAATCCCACCCTTGTCGCTGACAGAAAGGCGTAGTTCATTGCTTGATTTTCTATCCCGAATCTCCTTGAACCCTTTCCGCTGCTCCCTCGTCAACTTAGTATGCTTTTCACGCTTGAATCTGTTAAGGGCTTCAAGTACTCCTGACTACAATATCCGAAACTATATCAGCTTCAGGGAGGGGGGTCAGGCTCCTTATAAAATGTTTGCGGGAACGGAATGGGCATTGGAATGCTTGGAACACTACGCTCTAACCTTTCACCCACATGGCTTTGGGAGTCACTCCGCGCCCTCTGAACTTTTGCAAACCGCACACTATTTTACGCAAAACCGGGCTGATCATTTGCGTTAATGAAAACGATGGTCCTAAATTCAGAAAATCCATGGCTTTTGAAGAAATCTGTGCATCACCAATAACTGTGACTCTTGCCGCTTCGGACATGGTATTTGAATGTTGAGCATTTTCACGTTCGGATCGGTTGGAGTCGGATGAGAAGTAAGCGAAATCAGAATTCCCCACCCACTTGTCCGCTCCACAGTGAGTTGTGCTTGGCACAGAGCGTGGCTTTTGCGTTCGAACGGATAGAGTCGCATATCTGCTTCGATTCACCTTCAATTCTTGACCTGTTTTATACGGAAGCAAACGACGGCAAGATTCTTCTTTGTTGGTGCATTTTAGTAGCATTGTATACAGTAGATGTTGTTTCTGTCTGATAACCACACCGAGTAGTGATCGGTAGATTCTCATCATTCTTGGATGAGTATCAGGCATGCCGCATACTAATCTGAGTTTCTTATTTAATATGAACCTTGGAAGAAGTGTTGCTTTGCAACGCTGAAGAAACATGAGAGACTGTCGGGTGAGTACCACTTTTTGACAATGCTTCTTCCAGGAGGCGGAACACATTCGGCGGTATGTCTTGCAATAGTCTCCATATTCGCCTTTCTTGTAACCTGGGCATTTCTATATAGGATCAATGTTTCTTTATTATGCCGTACAGGTTTGTATGGTGGAAGTGTTTATTTTGCCTGAAGTTTCGACGGTATCGCCGTTATCAAAGGCCTGAAAGCATATCGAAATTTATAAAAGCTACCGATCCTGTTCAACCTGAACCCGTTCTTAAAGTTGCATCCAGACCAAGAGACTACGAACTCCACGTTACCTTTCCACTTCCACCAGCACCAACGATCTGCTCGATTTCGACACAATGGCGCAAGTGAGACTGACCGAGCACTGCTACAGGATGATAGTATGCGTACGTGCAGTCCATCATGTCTTCACTGTTAAAGCTCACACAGTGGAATATAGGGCAAGAAATTGGCCGTTATTGAGATGCACTCATTCCTGTTATTCATACATGGATTACGGTGCCTAATCCAGAACGCCTCGAGGTTTGGTTTCATAGTTTTTGAACAAAATTGTCGATCAGCTCCTTGTGTGTATACCATCACATTTGTCCAACACACCAGTTCCTTGATCACTTACGTTCCTGCAGATTTCAGCCCGACTGCGTTGTAGAATCCTTTGACGTGGCTGCGCTGTATACCGACGTTAGCAACAACGAAGCTCTGCAAGCAGTCTCAGAGATGCTTGGCGAGCATGCAGAAAGTATGGTAACGTTTGGATTGAGCAAACCGCAGATAATGGTTCTCATCAGGGAGTGTCTGAACAACATATTCAAGTGGTCATGGAGATACTTCTCGCAGATTAGGACGACTTGCGATGGGTTTGGTTAACGATTATATTAATATCTCTCAACAGCCAATCGCAGTACAGTCAAGTGAACTTTGAGAAGTGTCCAACGCGAGGACTGGTTACCTTACTTGAACGCGCAGCTAACGGTAACCGTGGACACTACACATGTGAAATGGTATAGGAAGGAGAGCTCCAAAGAACATCATCAATTCACGCAATGTCGGCTCACCTTCAGAGCGGTCAGATGTGCAGCTCCTAACGAAACATGTACAAAACTGCGAGTGGGGGGGGTATGCACCGGCAACGAGGAGCCTGAAGAATCCAGGAGACTAAGATAGCTAGTCTTAACGGATACACAGCCTGGCAGCAACGCCGTACGCGAAACACAGCGAGACCTTTCTCATATAGAGCTGAAAATAACCTCTATCTTCAGCTACCGTTCATATCGGACCGCTTCACCGCAGTCATAGAACAGTGCCTCCGGAGAGCCGATTTGACCAACGATGTTCTTTTGGTAAACACACCAAGGGAAAATATCGAACACCAATTGGTCAGAAATTGCCTCTACTACCGAACATGCACCACTCAGAACTGCGTGACCTGTCCGTATGGGAAACTTGGTGACTGTTCACAAAGGGTTGTCGTTTAAAAAATCGAGTGTTTAACGTGCGGTGCATTATATATTGGTGAAACTGGAAGGGCATTAGGCGTACGCGTGAAAGAACATCTAGCAAGCAAGCGAAGGGAAAGTTTGATTGCACCGCTTGGAAGGCATAGAAGAGAAGACCATGGTGGCTATGATTTTAGCGTTAAGTGCATAATATTGGCCTACGAAAACGATTCTGGTGCAACCCTTGAGGGGTTCTGGATTAGGCACTGTAATCCACGTATGAATAACAGGAGAGTGCCTCTTAATAACGGCCGATTTCTTGCCCTATATTCCACTGGGAACTTTAACAGTGAAGACATGATGCACTGCACATCCATAAGCCTCTCTTTGACAAATGTCTACCTTCAGTTCTTTCTGAATCCAAAAACAAGCGCATGTAAATTTAGGCTCAGGGCACATCATTGGTTGGGGATCTGTATGACTCCCCCCTTTCCTTTTTTTGGGGGGTTGGTACGACCCCCCCCCTCCTCATCGAATCGAGCCGTCAAGCCGGGGGGGGGGGGGAGGGGAGGGGGAATATAGTACGCGAAACAGGAAAATCACAAAAGGTCAACCGCCGCTCCTGCGACGCCAAAACTTAAATACGACCCCCCCCCTATTGGGGATTCCCCAACAACGATGTGCCCTGTTGAGGACAGTTTGGAATGCCCGAAATGTGCCACAAGAGTACGGTAGCTGGTCCTGCAATGAAGCCAAGTACTGTAGTTTTTCGAAAAAAATCCTGGCCTACACTTAGTGGCTTATTCTCTTAGCCACATTTTGTTACGCCCGTCAAATCGGCCTCCCCGCGGGCGCGCCAGGCTCTAGCTGCAATTGCTGAGTTTGGCTGAACTCGGAGGCGTTCAGAGGGTAAGGAGAGGGGAGGAGCGGTTGTGGGTGATGGAAGCACAAAGACGTTCCTACGGAACGTACCTCCTTACTTTTTACTTAGAGGCAGCGCCCGCGTTCATTTGTTGTTCCCACGCCCTCTTTGGATATTGTAGCTCACCTTATGAAGATGATGGACGCACTAGTTTTGCAACTCAAAAATGCGAGAGAATAGCGGCGCCCGCTCGTGAAGAGTCGGCCACCCCGCCCACCTGGCGACCACTACGCCCATCTTCATTTCTAGTGGTTGCCTGATGGTGCGTGTTCCGCTTCTAACTTTCTCCACATCGAATGGTGAGAGTGAGATGATAAGGGAAAACAGCTGATATCAACAAGTGAGAACTCGTGCGGCTGCGCCTTCTCTTCGCCTCGAGCACGTACAACCTCAGCTCGGCGTAGGGTCCTATAAAGGGCATATCCGATGATTTTTTTGCATTTCACTTCACTAATGAATTACTTGCTACCTTATTGTCACTGTCTGAGCCCCATAACTCATCAAATTGGACGCGGGCGCTGCCTTTAAATAACCATGGTTTGCACTTTCTGCTATAGTACTTTCTGATGGAAAACGGTTAACCATGCGAATGAAGACATTTGCACTTCGCATGGTAATACTGAGCCTGATTCATCACGTCCAGCAGTCTCAGGCTACTGTGATCGAGCTCAGATGTCAAACAAGATTATCCCCATCTTTTTTTTTACAAAAGGACCTTGACAAGGGCGCTTTTGGTATAGTTCTATAGACAAAAACCTTTAGAAGTTTTTCTGTTTCAACGGTGACGGAATGTATATTGGTGCTTCATTACCAAGTTCGAGGCGGCGGTACTCTTCGGAGTGCATAGGCCTTTTCCCAGTTTTCTTGTGATTTTCTTATTTTTGCCAGAGTTTATGTACGGATAATGAAGCAGATAATACATAAGTAATGCTAGAACATTTTTTTGAACAACTCGATTCCGACGCAAGTTGATTTGATCCAATATACACAACCTTTCCTTTCGACGGTTTCTGCAACTCGTCAGTATTGCAAATATGAACACGGCCTAAAAGACATCAAAAAAGGTCGAACTTACTTTTATATCGTTTTTGGAACTGCCTACTGGGGTTGGAGCTCTCCCAAGTACCAGGATGTGTCTTCAACAAGATGTCCATGTATGGCTTTTGGAGTGAATCTGATTTCAAGCGACGTTAACAGGGGCGAGTGAAAGTGGTATACGTGGTGACGTCAACACTAGATACAATTCGTCACATTTCAGCGAAACCTTCCTTTGTTCTGAACAACTCATTTTGCAGGCGAAAGTTGCAGCAATGCTACCAGTGTATCAAGTTATCACTGGGGTGAAAGGATTGTAAGTTGTAGACTCTATAATTTACTCAGAAACGAGCATCAATATTGTTTATTGAGGGACATATCACAACCGGAATTGAGTAGCCAGCAAAATAATGCTCCTGCAAACAATCCGCCTCCAATAACCACCTTTCCTTCTCGAGTCCCTGCTGCATTCGCTAAGACGAACCGCACAAAACCTGTCATGTGTTGCTCACCGCTATTTGTTGCACAGGTGAGGTCATCCTTTTAAATGTTGCTTGGCTAGCAGCTATATTGCTTGTAATATTCAGAATTCACCACATGGAGGCCCGATATCCAATGCTGCATCGCCTCATTCGTCAGCGTCCACGTCTAAGGACATTGATGTGGAAGTATCGCCCCTATCATCTAGCCAAACTCAAGCTTATGACCTTACCGTACGACACACTTCCCCTATCAACTCTTATGCAGGGAATTCTCATAATGGCAATCAACCGTCGGTATCTTCTGGATTTAATGCTCCTCCTATTCATACTGTAAGGACATACGGATTCATCGCTATCACAAATTTTTTCGTTATTTGGTCTTTATTAACTTTAGAGTATTAACTTTTAGAGCCTAAGCCCTTCTTCAGGCCGGTGGAATCACAAATACACAGGTGTTCAGTTAGAACTAAAACAAAGCAATGTGTGGGGTGTGAGGTCCTCGAATAGCGGGATCTCTAGGTAGTTATAAGGATTGCGCAGGGCTGTTCTGTGCTCATCACAACATTGTGCGACCATACTAATACCAGGTGTTATGCGGAGGAAGCGAGGTAGTTAGAACCGATTGAAGAATTTTGGGGCCTTTGGGGATCAAGAGGAGATTGCCATTGGAAAATACAGACTCACAAGAACATGAGGTACATTATGTGAACGTAACTTGCAAGTGAACGATTTCAGCTACCCATGGCTTTGAGTGGACGCTGCTCCGGGAATCTCACACACGAGTTCGAGGCAGTGGTTGGTGCGTTTATCCTAGCGAAAAGGTGTCCCACAAATGTCGGTAACTCGGTCCCCGAGAGAGTTTAGAGATTGCAAAAAAGTCCATGACGAAGACAAGACTCTGCCAGAGGGAATCTCTGTCATATCTGAGGTGTGCTTTGACACGCCCATAGTGGGAGGGGCGTGACCTTGAACGTAAGGTGTTAGTTAAAAAATCGTAGTTTCGTCCTAGAGCACTAACGTGAAAAAGTGGATTGTGGTCCCAAATGGTCCCCGTTTATAAGTGCAAGGTACACCGTTGTGGGCAAATCGTGCGCCGGGGTGGGCGGAGCCTGACTTGAAAATTCGTAAAGCGTTTCCAGAACACTCCAGACACTGGGAGAAAGTGTGTTAATGTCAGCGATTGGTCACGGGTTGAGAAATGCGAGGCACATCCGTTGTGGGTGAGGCGTGCGCCGAGGTGGGCAGAGCCTGACTTGAAAATTCGTAAAACGCTTCCAGAGCGCTCCATGACCGGGAAGAAGTGTATTAATGTCAGCGATTGGTCACCGGTTTAGAAGTACGAGGCACACCCGTTGTGGGCGGAGCGTGGTGACAGCTGGGCGGGGCCAAACGAAAAAGACTTTGAGTGTTACCGGAGCAATCCAGACTCCGGCAAAAGGTGAATAGAAGGTGTGGAAGTCCTCGGCCTTTGAAGTGGGATAGACACGCCCATTGTGGGCGAAACAGGTGTCGCGGTGGGAGGGGCAGAAGGCAAAAATTCGCGAGTTGCTTGCAGAGTAGCATATGCACCGGGGGCATGTGGACTGCAGGCCACAAGGGGTTAGCGGATGAAATGGGGCAGACATACGCAGATGAGTGGGACGTACTCGAATATGCGGTGCTTGCCACGAAATTTAATATTTCGGGCCTCAGTGACTTTAGGGATTGCAAGAAGTCGTTTGAGAAAAGAAACATAAGAGAAGGCAGTGCGTCTGTGGTGTATAGAGACCCGTCCACAGAGAGCTGTGACTTCAAGCAGAACTGCATACTTTCACTCAGTTTCAGTGGATACAAGTATCAGGGTGGAAGACACCCAAGACGCCAAAATATGAAGCCATCTCCAATAACAGCCTGACCGGAGAAGGCCTATGGAATTCACGTCACCTCCAAACAGCTGCGAAACTTCTTGTTTGGAGTCACCTATGGACAGCTACCTGGGGATCGGCACTCTTCATCTGGACGACCTCCAACATCAAGCAGCTCCGACTACGTCGTTACGGTTCAGGATATCATTTTCACCGTAGTGGCCAAGGCGCTGGTTGACGGTATGGACCGGAAATTCCTGGAATGGGAAGACCGATATTTTCTTCGTGGACCCCTGACTGAAGGTAAATGCTGACGGTTACATTGACCAACTCGAGGAGAATACCCTGCCTTCATGTCGTCGCCTGTACCTTCTTGGAAACTTTGCTACTACAGGATTGGGTGCCACCTTACGGAATCGAGAGGCTTTGGGAAAGCCGGATGGGAACGGAATATCCGAGTGTTCCACCTCCCCTAAACCTCCTCGATTACCGGGTTCGGGCCAAGCTCAACAGGGTGGTCTACAGTGGCGGAGAAATAACGACCTCGCTGAGCTCAGGCACCGAATCACGGCCGCGTGACAGAATCTCTCGATGGCGTTCGTCCAGAAGGCTGTGGCGGAGTATCATGATAGTGTATAATGTCTTGCTGAGCATGGTGATGGAAATGTCTAATTAGAATTTAAAGGCAGTTGGCACGATGGTTTTCTGCTTAGCCCAAAATGCTAGTAGGGCGCTGTATATGGGGAAATGGCGGAAGAATGGAGTGAAACCGTCAAAATCCTACGAAGAAAAAGCCTCCATTCTCAGTGACTTGTAAATCGATTTCAGACGAGTTTCCCATAGGCTACCAATCACTGCTACCGAGGATATGGCTGCATATGTGTACCCATGTTTGCATTCAGCATCATGGCCGCTTCATACCAATCCCTTCGCTTCATAATTTGCTTAGCAAATGAATGAATACGAGCGTCAGGACGGTCGTCCATTTGTGGGCGGGCGGGCGTGGCGGGCGTTTGGGACGTAAAGTTGGGGCTTGATAGTGCCCTTATAAGGGCACCTTCCTCGGGGAAACCGCTATGCAGCGTCTGTCCTGGGTCGTGGAATTCTATCCTGCCAGGAGTATTGACCCTACTCGCCTTGGGGGATTTATCGTGCCAACTGCCTCTATTAAAGTTTAACTTATAGCGCCTTGAAAGCCGAGGAAGAAAAGTGTCTTTTTTATTGCCCCCCCCCCTCCCCCTGTATATATACAGAGGGTCAAAATACGCTCCACAACATGCTTCTGGCCAAGCTGAGATTCTGGCCGAAGCTTCGAAACGTCGGATAGGTTATGAGTGTTGTAAGAGGTCGTATTATCAATTTATATTTTATCTGCTACGTCATGCACTTGACCTGCTCGCTCTGCTGAATCGTTCAATCAACGGAATGTCAAAACTGGAGTAAAAGCTCTCTAGATCTATCTTCAAAGTTGGGAGGGCGACTTTGCGGATATCAGTTGGTGCGAAACCAGCATTAGCATGTGGTAGCACTCCATCGGACACTTAGAGTTGATTTCCGCGGGGCTTCCTGTATTCTTTGCTTTTTCCCGTTTTCCGTACCTGGAAGAACGTATAACGATATCAACTGTTGAACAGTTAAGACAGTACAACCTCTGCCATGTAACACGAATACAATACAAAGGTGACTTGGTCACATTAAGACATCGGCATAGAGACTGTTGAGCCTACATATCACTTTTTCATTTTCCATTTGTTCCAAAATCTCTGACATTTCAACTGGGCTTTCCATAAGAACAAAGAAGGTATGCAGAGCTCACTGCCTTCATTGACTGCTATCTACTTTATGAAGCACTGCAAGCTTTTGTCCAGTGTGTTATTCATTGGAGCTACTGGTTCATTGGAATTCTGACGAACATGGGATTTCAGTTCCAGTCGCAAATGCGAATGCGTATTCTCACATGGTTGCTCCATTACTTAAACTGAGTCTGTAAGTCACAAAGATTTAGGGTAGTCGACGATAGGGCTGCTTCAAAACAAGTGCAGAACAGAATGATCCGAAGCTGGATACTATGAAGATCACCTGGTAGCTCTGTATATTATACTAACCATTGCTTCATCAAAGTGCAGCCGTTTATGCAACTTTTATTTGTTAGCTTTCGCTGCATGACAACCTCTACAGACCTTAAATACAGTCAAACATACACAGTGCTGCGATTTTTACAATATCGTTAATATATTATAATATAGCTTATCGAAAGTACTAGCCACGCTTGCTTACAATGATTTCGTCAGGTTCTGTAATACACTGTGCCTGAGACCTACAAATGTCAACAACACTACTAAGATCGATCCACCGTAGTGACACCTCCAGCGCTACTAAAAGTACCTAAGAAGCAAGGAAGCTTTGCTAGGACTCTCATTGCTCCGCCAAGCATTCGGCCTCATTGCCTCCATCAGCTCATCTCTGTTCTTGATCTCGGTATATAACTGCTTGCATAGCGATCGCTCGAGTAACGTTGCTTCTACCGGGGCTTTCCTTCGTGCTATGCGGGTATGGTAATTTTAGACGCGGCGTGCCTCGTGTCCGGTGAAGCAGCATACCGATACCCGCGGAGAATTCACTCCTGGGATAAGGAGGAGCGATTCCTGAAGCTCGCGTGTGCTCGTTATCGTTTGGTGCATAGAGTGCATCTCTGACATATTTTCGTGACCATATCCCTCTCATATGACGAATAAACTGGTTCTCGCTACTCGCGCCACACTTATGTACATCCGTGGCGATGCTTGCAATTTTCTCAGGCTCTTAGGGTGGCCGGGAACGTTAGCTCGAAAAAAAGCGTCAAGACTCCACGGCGTGTCAATTTCTTTCAACTCAACGTTGCAGTATTGGTATCAGGTTGTCCGGACAAATCTCACGTTTTGTGTTGACCATTTTGTACATTCTTGCTGGATTGAATACTCATTCTCCATTGTCTCAGTTGTACTTTCTGAAGCAGAATTCTTTGCCGCTACTGATGGTATAATTGCCGTTTCACCAATTGCTTGATGAACCCCTTTTTTTCAAGATTTTTTCAAGCATGTGAAAAAGAACACTTCGCCGACGTTTTTCTTCGACATAAATTGGGGCACATCCGCAATCGAAACAGCTGCGACAAATTAACCAGGAATGTGGGGCCAATCAATACTAGAGAAAGCACCGCTGCAGCAATGGCATTCGACAAATCGTCTGGAGATCTAGCCCTGGAAGCGTGAACTTCGTTAGGCGGCCCGACCTGAAGCAATACCTGACGAGGATTTGAAGGCGTTTGTGGAGGCTGACCCAGTGCCAAACAGTTCGAGAGATAGCAGAAGATCTTAGGCGTTGGCGAATCCACTGTGCAGATGGATCTGAAACGCAATGTGGAAGGAAAACACTCGCAAGTGGTGCCCCACAAATGTGAGCTGGCCGACAGAAATGGCAGGTCTCGAGTTTCCTCTTCATTGCTATTGCCGCAACAAGAAACGACCCGTTTGACTGAATGTCACCTGTGATGAAAAGTGGATCATGCTTTGATAACAG